AAAAAAAAAAAAAAAAAAAAGCAGAAAAAAAAGGCACATCAATATTGACAGTGAATTTAGACGAGCTTTTGAAAATGACAAAAACGTCACTTTGGATAATTAACATCTTTATTGTTTCAGAATTGCTGCAGAATCGGTAATTTCATCCTAAAAAATTTTTACTTCCTTTTAACATTCTGTTTTCTTTTTTTTTTTTTTTTTTTCTTCAATTCTCGTCAATATGGCATCAAAAATATTTAATATAAACAAAATGACGATGTATTTAGACGAAACAAACAAGGAAAAAAATAAAAAAAAAACTTTTTTACCGCATATGTTACAGCAATGACCAAATGGTCTAAATGAATTAGAACAGAAATCTTCAATAGATGAGCAGCTTACATATGAGCAAATGATTTCCATAACCTAAAATTGATTCAATCTTTTCTGCACAAATTTTGTTATTGCAGAACTAACTTTTAAATTTTATCATTGATAGTTGCTTTAAACTGTTTTCTGTTGAAAGTACAAATCAATGTTTTCATTTGGCTGCAGATGAATATTTGGTAGTAAGATAGTAAGCAAAAAAAAAAAAATCAGATAAAAAAAAGATTAAATTTTCATCCAAGTTTTGATTGTAAACTCCTATAAATGCATCCATCTCGGTGGTATCACGAATTGAAATTGGAAAACGATTGTTCACCACAATTGGCCATTCAAATCTGACGTCAGCTACAACAATTTCTTTTCGTAGTGTAGCATTCAAATCCCACAGATATTGACCCTCAATAGACCACAGTGATTCATTTATTGTTCTTTGATTCACCGGCTAAAATTGTAGTTTATATTGGTTACCGAGAAAGAAAAAAAAAAAAAACCAAGAGACAATGTTTAATTGTACAGCTGAAAAAAAAAATACAATACAGATAGAGTGAGGGGTTTTTTTTGTTAAGTATACGCATTCAAGTTTAAACAACTGTTTGTTTGACTGACATTGATGAAACAACAATAATGATACAAAAAAAAAAAAATAATAATAATATTTTTAACGTTAGAATAGAATATTAAAGCTAAAAAATTGTTTTGGTGGTTGGGTATTTGCTAACGACGATCTGATCACATAAGATTGGTTTTTCATAATGTACCTTTCTGTGTCAGTGAAAACAGTGTACAATAGCTGTTTTATGTTGTTCAGTATCTTGTGTAATTGTTCTGTTTTTTTTTTTCTTAATACTTACTCATCTGCATGAACAGTTTTGGTAATTACTACTTTTTACATATTTGTTAAGATGAATATAGCTGTTTAGTGCAGGAATTGTTTTTTTATTTACAATTTTAGACTGCATTTAAACTGAACTTTTTTTTTTTCTTAGCAGTTTACCGAAGTGGTTAGGCTTAAAGTGTTGTGCTGTTGTTAGTTCAAGATGAAAAATCAAAGATCTGTTCCTTAAGCATTTCGCATGATTTTTCTGCCACTGTAAAAGAAAAACAAATAATGCATAAAAAGTAAATTGAAAGACAAACTTTTTCTTCTTTTCTTCTTGTATTGTCTTTGTCACTATTATTGCTGCTGCTACCGTTGCAACGACTTAACTGATATAAACATTTGTTGTGTTTGTATTGTTGTCATTGTTATTGTTGTTGTTGTTGTTATTTTATTTTGTGCAGTACAAATAAGCGGCTCAGTAAAAAAAAAAAAAACAGCAGTAACTTTTTGGTAAATTTATCTTAGTGTAGATTGATGTTTTTTGTATTCCATAAGATTGAAAATTTAAGTTTTAGACGCAAAAAAAAAATATGACCAAATACAAGGCGATAATTTTTGGGTTGAAGACGAGTGTATTCAGTAACAGAAACTTTAACGATGAAGTGTTCAAAAAAAAGCAATCTTTGACTTGGTAAAAAGCAGTGCAGCTACTTGATGTAATTAAACTTAAAGCTTAGCAAAATAGTAAAAATATTCTTGTACAGTTGTTAAGAAATTGAAGTTGTTCATAAAAGTAGTTGCACAAAAAAAAAACAAAAAAACAAAGTTTGTTGCTGAAAGTTAAGGTGGGGGGGGG